ACAATGCACAGGACAGCCCTTTACAACAAAGAATCATCTGACCCCGGTTGACACCTCGTGGGGTTGGCAACCAATGTCACAAAACAATACGTGTATTAAGTGTTTAATGAGAAACTAGTTTGCTCTGTAAACCTTTCATCTAAAGTACAATGAAAAAAGTAATAATAAATAAATAAATTTAACAGTTTTTAAAATATTTTTCAATCAACATAAAATTGAAAAAAGCTTAAAAAAAAAAAGAAGAATCATCTGACCCCAAGTATCAATAGTGCCAGGATTGAGAAACCCTCATAAAGATGACCCTGCAGGCAGTGGGGAGTTGTGGGGAGTGCGGACCGCACCAAGGGACACTGTCAGAGGGGGTGACACAAAATGACTGTCTATAAAATGCTTGTGTAGTGTTTCAGCGGAAATTTATTATTTTTCATAAAAATATCCCGGTAGTTAATTATAACGACAAAAAGATTTTTGTAAGCCCAGCTTACATGTATCAATATATCTACAAGGCTTAAACTCTATGCTAATTTATTTTTTGAACCTTTTTAATGCACTCCAATCAGAGCTGCCATTCTTACCCAATTACAGTGATGCTTCGAATTATGAGGTTTCATCTGCACACGCTACAAGCACAGGCTGTTTTCATTGCTGCTGGTGTTTTTACAGTCACTGACTTTGTCAAATTTTCTGGTGTTTTAGCTACAATACTGTGGTAATTAGCATGGAGGGGGTGACACCATGAGTTACTGCACTGGGTGACACCAATCCTAGTACAAAGCCCTGCAGGGAGTTCTGAGGCCCTAGAGGATGATGAAGCCAGGCATACTGGAGGATCCTGTGTCTCTGGGTCACACAGAAAAAAAGGCTTCCCACTAAACATCCACATTGAGCCGTGCCATGAGTGAGAAATTAACTCTATTGAATTAAGCCACTGACGTCTTGGAGTTATTTGTTATAACAGTTAGGCCTTTACTAATACAGATGGAAAGGTCCCTGGTGGGGCAAATGGTTTGCAGTTCACTACTAATCCAGAGGTTGGTGGTTCAAACCAACACAGTGGCTCCACGGAAGAAAGGCCTGGTGATCTGCTTCTGTAAAGATTACCAAAAAAAGCCTAACCTGTTGCTGTGGAGTCGATTCCAAATCATAGCGACCCTGTAGGACACTTCCCCATGTCCTGTAAGTAGAACTGCCCCATAGGGTTTCCGAGGCTGTAAAATCTTCACAGGACAGACTGCCACGTCTTTCTCTGCTGGAGTGGCTGGAGACTTTCAACTGCCGACCTTTTGGTTAGCAGCCGAGCACTTAACCACTGTGTCTGTAAAGATTACTGCCAAGAAAACCCTACGGAGCAGTTCTACTCTGTAACACACGGGGTTGCCATGAGTTGGAATTGACTTAACAGCAATGGGCTAATATACATGGCTATGACACAGTCTGTCTTCAAAGCCTTATAGCCTAGGAGCCTCATCCCTTGTTCTGGATCAGATTCCT